GCCGGGCCTTCAGCCTCTCAGCCCCGAGGCTCTGGAACTCTATCCCCCAGTGCCTTCGCCGCTTCCTCCCTTTCCTCCTTCAAGGCCGGTCTCAAGACCTTTCTCTTCAACCTTCAGCCTTCAGCCTTCAGCTCCCCTCTCGACTCTCTACCCCCTCCTCGCTCCCTCCCTTCCCTCCCCTCACCCTGACCATTTCCCCCCTACTCTGGTCCTGACGTCCAGCGCTTTGGGACGTCCTCCCGACGTGAAAGGCGCTCTATAAATGGAATCTTGTTGTAGTTGTTGTTGTTGTTTCATAGTCAAGGCAGACAATCCAAAGCAGTACTGCAGGAACGCTGCATTCTTTGGAAGGTCCCCTCTGTCTGTTCAAGTAGATGTTAAAAGATCCAATGGCACTAGTCAAAAAGAGAAGGGAGTTGTTCTTGTGGGTTGCTGGGCAATAATCCCCTGAATTAAATTGGTTATTCACTTCATGGCTGTTTGTGAGATTTTGGGTGTTCTTTTCATTTACAAAATAGAGTCACTACACTTCACAGTAAAAACCTTGTGAAGCGCTTTGACAAGAATAGGGGCTGTATCAAATTCAATGTGTATTATTATTTATTAGTGTATTATGTTAAGACACCTACCAATTTATAAGAACAAAACATTTTTAATAAAGCTAACAAACTCAAGCTAAATTCAAGTAAATCAAAATGCCCCACTGAAATCCAGTGTTAAAAATACTGCAGACAGGAGGAATACTGAGATTGGAGCAGAACAAATGGATTCATTCTGTATTGTATTCCAAGCTTGTTTTGCTGTTTGTATGTGTTGGGGAGGAGGGCGTTGTTTCTTCAGATATTGCTGCTAGATTTGGCTGATTTGGCTTGCATCTTCTGCAGCTGCCACAGCTGTAAACGCCCACAGTGGGTACCACAATGTGACAGGGAGAGAGAAGCATTTTGTTTTCAGTGTGTGCCAGGGACAGTCAATGCCTTTTGTATGTTACAAAGACAATTAGAATATGTTGTCGTGACTTATAATTTTCTGCAGTCGTGCCAATAACATTAATTGCAAGTGGCAATTTTGCTTAAAATATTACATTATCAATCTAGCAAAGCCGCAGGGGAACTCGGTAAATATTAAGATAAATAAATCATCATAATAGATAAGCTAAGATAAAAACTCAAAGAATCCCCTACAGGGCCAACATGTTTGTTGCATTTTCTGTCATGGATTAAAACATTTGAGAAAACAAAAATATATAACTATTTTTTAAAAATATTTTTAAGAAGGAACTTTTAAATTGTTGTAGAGAAATGTTATTTTCTGTATTCCGCGTTCTAAAACAAACCGCTTCTCTTTGACTTCAGTTGGTAGCACTCTTGCCTCAGTCAAAAGATTGTGGGCTCGAGTTCCACATCACAACTTTGAGCTCATAGTCCAGGTTGACACTTCGATGGCGTGATGCATTGCATTTTCAGATGTGCTAATTTTCAGATGGGGTTTAGACTAGATCCCACCTGCTTGTTTTGGTAAGTGTATGGCACCATTCAAAAACAGAAGGGCGTTTCTCCCAATGTCCTTTCCGATAATCCCTCAGATAAAAAAAAATATTATTCACTTCATTGCTGTCTGTGCGACCTTGCTGTAAGCAAACTGGCTGCTGCGCTTGCCTACAATTGCACAGTCACCACACTTTATAGAAAAGTCTGTGAAGTGCTTTGATGGCATTGTATCTTGTTAGGATTTATTTGGCCTGCAGTTTTCTTTTCCACTAAAATCCTCGTTGAATAATTGAACAAAATCATTGGCAAATAATGTCAAAGGTCAGCGCTGATATATTCACAACCTGAAACTTATCCTGAGGTAGTTAGAGCTGAAGTGGCCACTATTGCAAGAAACCTGATTGAAGGCCAAATGTGACTTTCATTCCCTTGCTTAGCCATCAGATTAAATATTTTATTCATCTATTGTGTACCATTTACAAGTAGGAGTTTTTTTCATTCTGCCTAGTTTGTCATAAAAGGGTGTGGGTAAAGCCCATTCTAGACAATGAGAATCTATTATCTCCATGAATTACTCTGTTAGAGGGGAGGAGAATCTTTTATTGTCTTGTCTCATTTCAACTGTGAAATAGTATCTTTTGGTTCTGTGACCGCACTTTACATTATGTGTAGTCTTCCAACATGTGTGGCTGCAATGGCAATTCACTGTGTCTATAATTATGTGCCAATTACAAAATGTTATTTTCTTATTGAATAAAACCAAGATCAGTGTTTTTATTGTAAATAAATAAACATTACACACTGGAAGCCGTAATCTATATTAATGAGTTGTCCTTGAGGGTTATAGAGAAATTTCATGGAGCATCTTACTGTCCCTTGGTTTTATAGATTGCACTATAATGTACAACGATCATTGAATGTACCTTTGTATGTGAATCCCTTCACACCCTAGTACTTCTCTATCTCTCTGATATTCACATACCCCACTCTCCTGCTTGCCTTCCCTGTTCAGCTAACTCAGTCCCACTGCTTGTCCCCCATCGCCTCCAACAACAATAACAACAACAACAAGATTCCATTTATAAAGCGCCTTTCACGTCAGGAGGACGTCCCAAGGCGCTGCACAGTTGGGTCATGACCCGAGCAGGGGGGAAATGGTCAGGGTGAGGGGAGGGAAGGGAGGGAGCAAGGAGGGGGGAAATGGTCAGGGTGAGGGGAGGGAAGGGAGGGAGCGAGGAGGGGGAAGAGAGTCGAGAGGGGAGCTGAAGGCACGGTCAAAGAGAAAGGTTTTGAGACCGGCCTTGAAGGAGGAAAGGGAGGAAGCGGCGAAGGCACTGGGGGATGGAGTTCCAGAGCCTGGGGGCTGAGAGGCTGAAGGCCCGGCCACCGATGGTAGGGCGGTTGGGGCGGGGGACGTGGAGCAGACCAGAGCCAGAGGAACGGAGGGTACGGGCAGGTAGGTAGGGGGATAGTAGGTTGGAGAGGTAGGAGGGAGAAAGGCCGTGAATGGCCTTGTAGGTGAGGATGAGGATCTTGAAATCAATCCTCTGGGGGATGGGAGCCAGTGGAGGCGAGCGAGGGTGGGAGTGATGTGGTCCCGAAGCCTGGTGCGGGACAGTACACGAGCTGCAGAGTTCTGAATGACCTGCAGCTTGTGGAGGGAGGTGGCGGGAAGGCCGGCGAGGAGAGAGTTCCCATAGTCCAGCCTTGAGGTGACAAAGGCGTGGACCAGGGTTTCAGCAGCGTGAGGGGTGAGGTAATGCCGTAGTCTGGCGAAACTCTACGTGTGGGCACCTCTTCCTTGTTCAACATCTGACCCTGCCACTGTGAAGCACTCCGAGATGTTATCCTACATGAAGGATGCTATATAAATGCCGTATATGTATAAAATCAAATTTATAAGCTACACCTTCAAATAGAGCAACTGTTCCTGGGAAGCTTGGAAGAAAAGACCTATCAAGAGGCAGTGACGTCTGAGGCACAAAACCCATCAAAGTATTAAGTATAGGATGGGAAAATTTTTATCACTTCAGAAATAGTGTTCCTTCCAAGGGACAATGCGTAGTTTGTCCTTATCTAATCTGAGGAAGCCGAATAACCTCAGGAAGAATTTTTAAGATAAAACTCTCCAATTTCTCCCAGAGCATTGAAAATAAAGGTAGCGAAAACTTCAGGATATCAATTTAACATATCCTCTAACCTGGACTTGATACAGTCACATGATCATTATGGTTATACTTGTCCTTATAGCTTTAATATTATACTTATCAGATATTCACTTATCTTTTTAAAGAAGTTTAATCAACATAGCATTAAATGTTAAGTCTATTTCATGTTATCTACTGTTCTCTGGGGGAAGGGGCCTATTCTAGTTCTTATTTTCACTTGAATTTCGTTAATTCTGACCCCGTGTTCTCATGGTTTTGCGATCACAGTTCAAATGAAATAACTTGCTTTCATCCATGTTATCAACTTCCTTCAGCATTTGAAAGATCTCAATCTCCTTCCCTCTCATTCTTCTTTCTCCAATGACAATAAAGCAATTTTGTCAGGCTATCTCGTATCTTAGCGTTTTGACTCCCTGAATCTCCTTGTCACTCCTCTTTGAACATGTCATCCATGTATCATGTTCTTTTGAAGATAAAGGAGAGAAATGAGACTTTGCTAAAAGCAAGACTGAGCCAAACAGAAGAGGAACACATAAATACCAACTTCAATGTCTTTTAACATTTTGAGTTGAATTCTCTATGAAAAACAAATCTAACTGTTCTGATAGTTACCCAGTGACTGACTGAGGATGTATTGCAAATAAAAAATAAAAGAGTATGAATTGTGTAATGTGAAGATTGATTGATTTCTTAAAGTCTGTAGATGTCTAATTCAAAATAATATTACTCTATCCTACTTACTATAAATAAACCAATGTACAGTGCTGTATGTATTATACATAATATGCAGGGAGTGATGTTTGAAGCAGTTCCTGCAGAAAGACAGCAAACAGGTAGTCATGTCCTTGGTGACCTTAAGACCTAGAAGTAGGGCATAGTCGAAAAGAGTACTAAAAGTCAGAAAAATTCCCCCAAACTAGAGGTAAACTAAAAATCGATAAAATCCGTCACTTTTTAAAAAATAAAATAGCAATAGAAAACTGGCAACCCTGAGTCTAATCAAGCACTCTGGGATGCTACCCCACGTAAAAAGTGCTATATAAATGCAAGTTGTTGTTGGTATAATGCACTATTAAGGGTTTAAGCTCAGATTATGAAATTGTTTAACATCTAAAAAGTATTTTCAAATGTACAGTCACTGAATTGGTACTTGGACATGGTGGTCGTGCAATGGTCAAATCCCCTTTGCAGTTCAGCTCAGACTGTGAAACGAAATATCTCCCACAAATGTGGCCGTCTGTTCTGTCAGTTACTTGCAAATCCTCTTTATCACCAGCTGGCGGCACTGTGACCTCTGCCTATTGAATCAATGTTTCCCTTTGTTGTAGATTTCCTTGCATCAACAGTGGTGAGTAATGATTACTGGGATCAGCAAGAAGGCCATAAAAGCAATCCAAGGATGACCAAAATAGTGGACTGAAATCGATGTCTCGTGAGTGGTCTATTGAATCAATGTTTACTGATGTGCACCTTTAATGCAAAATATATGCGCAGTAGACCTTATACATATTAATGCAGCTACTCTTATAATAGAATGCTTTACAATTATAGAAAAGTAGCAATTTTCAGGACAAAAAGAGGCCGTTTGGCCCATTGCGTCTTTTCAGTTATCCTTTTTGTTATCCAACTTTCCGGTTCTTTCCCCGTATCTCTTACTATTTTTACTTCTCAAGTACTTATCCTATTCCCTTTCAATGACTACATTGATCCAGCCTCAAAAGCCACTTGTAAAAAATTCAACACCCTACAAAATCTCCAAGTGAACAAATTCCTTTGAACCTCACCTCGAGTCTTCTACTAACAATTCTTCAAATATGTCTCCTTGTCACCAATTTCCATCAAGTAATACAAATAGCTTTTTTTTAATATTTTCCTTGTCACACCTCTCCAGAACCTTAAACCTCATATTCTTCACCTAAACCAATATTGTGACCCTCTTTCATTCGCTAGTAGAGAAACCACCCCAATTTAGCCAACCTCTTTTCATAGGTATATTACCTCATACTTAGTATGATCCTTGTAATTCTGAACACTGCTGGGTGCCCAAAACTGAACACAATACCCCAACTTTAGCCTAATCTGAGTCCTGTGCAATTGCAACACAACTCCCTCTACTTGTTCCACTCTTTTTTTCATATGAATTTTTTTTTCTCTCTAGCTAATCCAGTAGATGGCAGCAATTATTTAATTCTGCAAAAAGTCACCAAATAGTCTCTAAAATGCACAACAAAGAAAGCATCGGGTAATTGGGTAAATTAGTTTTGTAGACTTGAAAGATTGTTTACATCTCAATTTTCTTTTCAGTATTCAATTTTCTAATATTACTATAACAAATGAAAGGCTGATGTATCCATTCAGAACAACTCAGATAGAATTTTAGCTGTTTTTACACATAAAACTACCTAACATTGAAAATCATTTTGATATTGTACATTGTAAGAACAACTATGAATTTCTGACCCATTCCAGAGATATTACTGACACTTGATCAAACCAGTTAGAAATATTTAATTTACAATATAAGGTCTGATCAACTACTTTTTCTCAAAACTGTCTAGAATAATTTCAGCAGCAGACCTTCATGAACAATTGATTGAAAGTCTAGTTGGCGTTCCACATCTTGAAATATTTGTTCCTGCATCACAAATCTTTTCTTCATCAAGCCTTTTTTTTGACGATATTTACAAAGAAAGCTAAGTCATTCGATGGCACGTGTACTAGCGGGCCTGCCTATTATGCTAATTTGTCAATATGTCTTTTTAGAAATGGATTTGAAATCTCAAGACTTCCAAAAGAAACATGGTGAGCTATACCAAAGGTGTGATTAAGGATATTGATCAGATTGTGAGAAATATTTTTCCTGAAAGCAAATGCAGAATCCAGACTATAATTCTTTGTACAGTAGAAAACAGGGGGAAAATATTTCACAGTCGTGTGTTCTGGATCTGCGTTACTTGCTGGGGGTGAGGGTTAAGGTTTGTGGTTAACAGTAGGAGGAAGACTTTTAGTCTGCATGAACTTATTGAGGTTACTTGTCTTGTTTCATACCAGGTGATGCAGAACCATAAATCCCAAGGCCTGCCAGGTCAGCTGACAAGTGAGCTGTTGTACTGGGCAATTGAAAGGAAGCCTGTGTTCTAGGTTTCGGTGAGCAACTTTACATGAGGTGCATTTGGTCTCTGACATGGGTAGTTCCGTCTTTTGTCAAACAAGAGTTTAGGGATATGTGTCATTAGTTTGAATCATGTTGCACAAATATACATTGTCTGGCAGCCTGTCATCACTCACTGGCAGCTTCAGAAAATCATGACATCCCAGCCATCTGTGAACCATTTTTAATGGAACAGCTCAAAGAGTTAATCGTCATATCTCTCCCTTAGCTCCGCTGCCCCGTGCTGCAATACCTGATAGGAAAAGATGCAACTTGTGCATCAAAGGGACACAGCCTGCTTACTGTGATCCATCTTATATCCTTTGATCCTTTCATTTAAAGACACAAACAGTGATTGGAAAGACTCAATCCCACTGGGACAACAATAGTTGACTAGTAATAGACTAGTAATAGATAGCGTTCACATTGCCAGCCTTTGCTCAGCATTACCATGCATTGGGGATTTGAAGAGAGGTCCAAAGACACAACAACAACAACAACAAGATTACATTTGTATAGACACAAGTGCAAGAAATGCCTTATCCTTCAATTCTTCCATCAGTGGAAAGACAACTATTTGTTTCTTGAGAAACATGATGTTCTAATTGTTCTTTTAAACTCTTTGTAAGCCAATAATGTTGCAAACAATGCTATAAGTTCTGAAAACAACAATGCTCAAGATAAAAATTTAATAGCTGTAAAATATAAGAGAAAGGGACTATTTTATAGCACAGAACTACAAGGCTTTGTAGTCATCACGTCAATGTCAGTAAGTGCTCCGTGCTTGCTTGGTAGCAATCAGATGTTTCCAAAGTTTATTGGGATTATAGAATAAGCTGTGGAAAATAGAGAAATATAGAAAATCAGTATTATTACTTAGCTCAAAGAAAGTCACACTACAAAATAATTGCTTGTGTACTAGGAAAATAAAAGTACCATCCAAGTTAGATATAGTTAGGCTGAATTAGAACGCAAAATGAACCAAATAAGTATTGCCATTGACTTTTATTTGGATTTAATAACTTTGTGAGCAAGCAAGGGAATTGTTCTACAACACTATGATCTTCTATCTGACAAGCGCAGACATAGTGTTTGTAAATATTTTATACCAACCTACTTTTATTTATCAACTGCAATGGACAGTTTCTTTTGACAGTAACTTACAGGTTTTTCTTTGTCCCATCATAAGGAAAATTGATTTTTAGTCCTGCACAATCTCTGTCCTAAGTACCCCTTTCCATACCGTCCTTCACACTTGCCTGAATTATTTTATTTACCAGCCCCACCAATCTACACTGTCCAATGAGAAACGTCTCTCATACAGTTTGTTTGAGCTGATTTATAATTGACCGTGAACCCAAAATGCAAAATAGCCTTCCAAATGCAGAGTGCAGCTCACAAAGTCTATTAGGGATTCATATTCTGCATAATGAGTGTTCATTTCCTGAAAGGGAAAAAAAAGGTAGAAATGTAACTACTCAAATTAAATAGAAAATCGATATTACAGACAGCTCGATGTTATAGAGCATTTGTCAAGGACAATGTTGGATCATCATGGAATGGAAAATTCAAAGAGGAAATCAATTTAGGCGAAGGAACAGGTTGCCTGTTGTCCTGTTGCTCATTTTTATTTTTCTCTTTCTTCCTCCCTGCACCCTCTCCCATCATGTAATATTCTAGATAAGACCTTTGTTCTCAGTCCTTTGATGGTATCGTTGGGATCATGCTACTGTGAACATGCTAGTCTGTAGGGTAAACAATTGTCTTTGGGGCTGTTTGATCTCTTCCTTAACGCAACCAATTCGCTCAAAACTAGATTGAAATTAAAATACCTTCTTTTCTAAACAGAATATTTCCTCCCACCCTTAAAAGATCAGTAGAAACGAGAGTAGAAATTCCATAGGAACAATTGATAGAACTTTGTATAGAAACAGAAGGAGGCCATCGTGAAGATGAACTAACATATGTAATGAATAAGCCAGGAGGGAAATAACATTTCTGCAGAGGACAAACCATTTGCCTCCAGTTCAGCTCTTCCTTAAGCTCCAACCATCACACCCATGACTTAAACCAAGTTTTTTTGCATTGTACAATGAATCAGGTAGAAGCCTGTCTTCTATCTTTTCTTGATGTAGCACATTAAGGAATTAAAATGCTCTTCACTGCTTATTAAGGTTTTTTTTTGGGGGGGGGTGTTGTGGGGGGGCTGCTTTCCCATTGTTGGAGTGCAAATAGTGGGAAAATATGTAATAGTGTGCATTACATCTGCAATCGTGCATTTGCAACAGAAACATTGTATTCATTTGAATTTGCAAACAAGAACCGAAAACATTTTTTAGTCTTTTTGCAAAAATAATGACAAACGCTAATATTTGAGAATAGTGCCCTAAATCACTATATTTCTAAATAGGTTTTTGGAATAGGAGAATCTGATAAATTCTATTTGTTTGATACTGTTTGCAGTCTTTGAGAAATGATTGCTTCACTGCTAGTAAATTCAACACAATACATGGACAGAATGCTGACAGGAATATTAACTGGGAAAGGCTGGCAATATGGAATATAGATGAGATTTTTAGACTGCAGAGCACAACACACTGATGTATAGACTTCTCGCTTTGTAATAAATCACTAGTTTCTAGACAGCTATGTGCATTTAGGATATTGTTTAATGTGGTATCAAATGTAACAGTTATGTGAATATTAGAAAAGGTATTGTGTAGGTTTGTCTTGATGTCAAGACTAGAAATTAAATTGTATATGACACGGAATATGCATTTAAATTCAGAATTTATTCCTTTTCCTGTACGATGAGTCTGCATTGTTACCTTGATAGAGAGTCAAGTAATATTTAACAAATGAATTATTTTTAATAGCAAGGCTGCTACTGTATGAATGGCATGCTTAACATTTTTATGAATGTGATGATTTTTCAATTGAAAGACAATTGCTTTGTGCAAAACATTCCTAGGATGAAACTGCAAAATTTACGATCAAAATTGTCTGGTTATTTAACCTCAGTTTAGTTGAGCCATTGCTTTGTCAAAACCTACATATTAATTAGCATTATCATTGATTAAACCATCATTCATTATTAAATGATTGCAGCTAAGTGAAATTTCATCTAAGAAGCGCCCAAAATAAGAGGAATTGTTCACAATATGTTTGCAATTTAAATGATTATTGTTAATCACCAGAGTCATCAACTTGAATCTTATAATCTTTCACTCCTCAAAGACTGGAGATGAATAGAACACACTTTCACTTTCAATTTATAGCAGAGCTTGTGCAGCACAGTAATTGTGTGAACCTTTGAAATTGCATCTGCATGGTCATCTGAAGAAAATAACACAGTTATAATAGCATGATTTTAGTTTCATGTTGTCTATGTTTCTTTACATTTCGTCTTGCAACAAGAGTACATTTCTTCAAAGGAAAAAGTTCCAAATGTGATATTATAATTTTGCACAATATAGGTCATTGACTCTTCCTTTCATTTAACACCTCATAATGGTGTCAAAACACCAGGTTTGTTTTTTATGTGAAAAAAACTGCAGAAAATCCTCCCTTATAACTGACCACTAGGAGGTGTGCAAAAACTGCCTGGGGTGAAATGCCCTCCATAATATTCTTCTGTCCTTATGGGGTAGCACCTCTCCCTTGTTTGGTGTCTCCCTCGATCTAATGCTGATTAATGTAATTCTCAGATCAACAACTCACCCTTAGCTAAGAATTCTTAGCTCACCTCTGCACTGTGTTGGAGCTCTGATGCTGATGCTATCCATTCAGAGGTTATTATCCTGGTGTCATGCACTTTGAAGATTCTTGGATTAGTTTTGAATAAAAGCGCAACCGAAAGGAATGCTTTACAATGAATCCAGCTGTAGATTTGCCATTGCCACACATTTGGTCTGTTTGTATTACTGTCATGACTTAGAGAAGATAAGCTTTTTTGGGGTAAATGAGAGTCAATTCTTTGCCTGTAGAGAAATTGTCTTCCACAGAACTTTAGACCCAGATCCAGATTGCTTTAATCCCCACTTTTAAATACTCTTTAATCAGAACTACTACAGCGACAACAATTTCACATTCAAAGCATTTCACCCAGTTGACTGGGAGCCCAAACTGGGGGAGTGCGAGGGTAGTGGAACGAGGGTGGGGAAGTTAACGAAACCACAGTTGAAAAGAAAGGGATTGATAATAGTTAATGGATGGGAATTACTGCGTAAAAGAGAAACACCGGAGAAAACGATTCGGCAAATTTAGTACTAATCGTGTGGTTTCTCTTCTTGAAGAACTTGAAGGTGGTTCGAGACAAGAAAGAAAAAAAATTGGTGATGCAGGTACACACAAGAATCTGAATTAATCTTGAACTCAACCTAAGTGAGAAAACTGCCCACTGACATGTGCAAAAACATCAATCTTTCCCAGTATTTCCCCTCAGTAATTTCTCCACAGTAATACATGGTATTAGCATTCCTAATTTGTCAACCTATTTTGTCAACTTGTTTAAAATATACTGAATTTGAGAATTATTGATTATGTTATCTGCAAGTCATAGTGTCTCGCTGTGTTTGGATTGCAAGTAACTTTGCTCAAATCATAAAAAGTTTCTGGAAAAAATCCAAGACTGAGCATTAGTTTGATTTTTACGATTGACATTGACAACAGAAAGAAAATATAGTCATTTTAAAAGATGCATATGTGAACTCATTAACATACAAATGAGCTCTGCTGCTGTGATCTCCAGTTGGGCAGAATATCTTTTTTGTGCATATGTTGAGTCTTTGGATCAATTTTGTCTCCTCAAATTATAAAAAATTACATTATACTCCTACCTTTGTTTTCAAAATTTGTACTTTGATATGTTTTTACCAAATCTATTAATTGTTTGAATTTTTAGAGCATAGAATACAAGCATTTTAAATTGGAGTTTTTTAAGCTTTTCAAACCATGTTTAATTTTTAATAACTTTGCTGATTCATTTTCCTTTAAGAGGTGGCACACCAGGGTTTCTCTGTTTTTTTTAAATATGTTTGTAAAAAATCTGTCTTCCTCATGGCTGTTTCTCTGTAAGTCACAAAATAACCTCCAGCATGTTTTTCACATGCTCAAGTGAATTGATGCATTTGTTATCGGTTTGTCATGCAAACTAGAACTTAGTAGATTTCCCAATTCCATCTCTACGGTTTGAGACCAGATGATGAAATAACACCCCATGAAAATTGTGTCGACTTTATTGGGCATTGTAATGTTGGCCAGCAATCATTTTAAAAGCAACATTAAATGATTGAATAGACCCGTGTTTTGTGTGTGCCTTTGTGTTTCTGTGCATGTTTTCGAAGTTAGTGGCTTGAAAAATATATCATAGGTTATAGAAAAGGAAGCCCGCAGTCTTCAAGTTGAATCTTGCTTCACTGTGGCTAAACATGAAGTCCCAGCTGTTCATCAATTTAAATTAAGACTTTGAGCTGGGAAGTACTTTAATATTGTTAGGAATCAGACAGAACCCCTGCAGACTGGCTTGGCTGCCCACTGTGCGTAAGTACAGTAACCATCCAATGGCCTAGATTTCAGATCTGATCAAGCAGTGATATATTTGATTGTCATTGGATTGAAGTGAATTACCTCTGGGAGAAAGCTAATTTACGGTGCAAGATGAGTTTAGAGTTACAAGACATCTCAGCTCTGTTATCATAACCAACTCGTTAAATGTAGGACAGTGGAGGAGCCTGTGTTCAGACTTTTGCAATCAATGTATTTACAGTGTTACATTGGATAAATAAAAACTGAATAAGCTTTTCCACCATAAGACAAACTACATATTTTAACCTTTTGATCTTTTCATAGTGCTCAAAAAAAATCCTCAAATTCTTGAAATATTTCCATCCTATTTTGGTACCTGCATGAACCGTTTCACACGGAATGTTTCTGATGCATTGTGATATAAATGTCAGTGTAAGATCTTCGCAGCTACAATCTCATAAAGTGTAATTAAACAAATGAGTGCTTAAGCAGACTGCAACAGGCTGTTTTCAGACATGCCACAGTATTCTTGGTTCAAATGGAATTTGTCTGTGATGTTGGACAAGTCTAGTTACTGAGGTGACGTTTTGGAAGTGGCGAAACCGTACAACCTATAATAAAATAATAAGCCTTGTATTTGACATAGCGCCTTATCACTTCACCAAGATTTTTCAGAGCATTTCTCAAGATTTACTACAAAGTATAGTGACTGTGTATTATGCAGGTGAAACACAGATACATAAAGTGTGAGCAAAGATTTAAGACAACTTTGCTGATCATTGCCAATGTTTGCTCTGTGTATCTGCAAACAAATGATTGGAGTTTCCTGAGCAACTGTCTCATGCACTCGGGAGGGCTGACAAAAACAGATGCCTCTGGTCTCTCCTCCCTCAGGTGCCTTTGACCTCCCTCTCACTGGGGAGACAAGGGGACTTATTGGTGCCCCAGGCACCTTTGTGCTAGTTTTCATTTTTTGGGCGTTCTAGATGATTTCTCTCTCCCGCCCCCCCATGTTGGTATCGCTGAAGCTCTTGTCAGGCTACTTGTCTCCTTGTGATTGCAGTAGCATCTCTGAACATCCTCTTCACCACCACCCAAATGAAGAAACATCAGGTTGCCATGCAAAATCAACCTGCCTTCTTCATTTTGGATTGTCCGCTCGCCACGGCTGAAGTTGATCCTGATGGATACATTTATATAAATTATTACAATGCTCAAGTGCAAAATTGGCGTGTTTACACCAGCAACTAGACACCAGTAACTGTGCACCAGCACACATCAGTGTCACCGTGGGAGATCAAAAGCATTCTGGGAAAAGTGGGTCACAGACCCATAGATGATCATATAATGTATCGGGTCCGTAATTCCATGACATAGCTAAGACTTTAATGCCCAATGTCTTTGACATTGAGGGCAGGCACTTTGTTGTATAAATTAATTTTAATATGGTAATTTTATGCTGATGATTGCTGGAAAACAGAATTTAATTTTCTAGATTTAGGCATTAGACTATGATATGATGGAATTTTGTTGTAATTTTCTGCACTTCAATGTCACACATCCATTGTCTTTCAAAACAACCTGCTGAGATTATTTGTGCATTTCACTTACTCTGACACATTTGCTCTTTTGATATAATTTACTGGGTTTTGTACAACAAAGCAAATACTGAGATAAATTACAAAGGTTACATATATTATTGATTCTGGTTCCCTACTAGTCACAAAACCAACGCAAGACTGTGTATGCATCGTTGATCATCTGTTGTAATTTGAACATGTTGTGTGTTTCTTTCCCTTTTATTTGGATATCTTCACTACATAATCTTGTTAGTGTTGCTTCTGTTGTATTGTTGGCATTTAAGGAATTTACCTCTCTCAGTAAGGAAGTTACAAACAACTGCCTAGTTTGTGATTTTCTGCAGCTGAAAGAGAAACCATTGCAAAGGAAATGCCAAAAATCTTAACCATTTTAGAAAATGAAGCACTGAATAAGAAATTATACATGCTGGTTACTAACCTGTCTTTCTCAGTTACGTCATCCCAGCTCACACCCTCTAATCATAACCTTCCTTTGCATTTGATATGTTGCCTATAATGTTGAAACATCCAAAGTACTTCACAGGTAATTGCTGTCCGATGTACTGATTGTGTATTTGTTGGAAACCTGCGCACAGCAAGTTCTCACAAATAGGCATAAATGAATAATCAATTTATCTGAGGGGTTACTGGCCAGTATACTCTGAAAAATTCAATTCTCTTTTCAAATTGTGTCATGGGATCTACAACGTCCACCTGAACAAAGGGATGGAGCCTTGATTTAACAACAACAACCACAACAACTTGGATTTATACAGCGCACTCCACGCCGGACGGCATCTCAAAGCACTTCACAGTAACGGATCCTGGGGCCGAGCCGGGGGAAGGGGGAGGAAGGTGACCAAAGGCGCGGTCGAAAAGAAATGTCTTCAGCCGAGACCTGAAAATGGGAAGAGACGGGGCGAGGTGAAGGGAGTGAGGAAGCGAGTTCCAGAGCCTCGGGGCGTAGTGGCTGAAGGCACGGCCACCGATGGTGGAGCGGAGGATTCGGGGGACAAGGAGGAGGGCAGACCCAGTGGAGCAAAGGCAACGGGCACTGTTGTGAGGATAGAAGGGGTCAGAGAGGTAGGGGGGTGCAGAGGAGTGGAGGTATTTGAAAACAAGAGTGAGGAGTTTGAAGTCGATCCTCTGTGGGATAGGCAGCCAGTGTAGTCTGGCAAGGACTGGGGTAACCAGGGAATGGAGTTTAATGTCTTATCCAAAGGATAGCACCTTCAACAATGCAGTGCTCTCCCCAGCACTACATTGTAGTGTCAGTCTGGAGTAAGAACTCAAGTCTTGATGTGGGGCTTGAACCACAATCTCTGACCCAGAGGCAATAATGCTACCAAATGAACCATGTTGACATCAAAGTATTTCCCATCACTAAATGTGAAATGGATCAATGTAGTTTCACTGTATATAATAATGCATGTATACAGTAAACATGGTCATATATTTGGGCGTGTAAACGAGTTCCAATTTACAAGTGTAAGTAAATGGTCAGAAATTATAATATACAGTTTTGTAGATAGATATTTTGTAATCATGGTAAGTAACATTGAACCGAGAGGGTCACCCTGTATTTGGGAGCCAATGGTTTATTGATGCTAGACATTAATGCAAAAGTAAAGGCTAGGGTTTGATAACTGAGCAGTTTAACCACTTCAGTAACCATGAAATAGCTTCCATTTCTATCTGTATTAGTACTTGGAGAAAGAGAATGACTCTCTATGCTCTGAATTAGGGTAGCAGAATACCTAGAGAATAGTTCAGCTTTTAGAGAAAAACCTAGCAAAGGAATCAGAAGACGTTATGATGCAGCCTAGGAGGCTCGAAGATCAGCGAGAAAATAAAGAGGAAACATAAGATACTGTTATTAGATGTCAATGTACATTTGAGTTGCCAGCTTTTAAAGTGAAACGTATCACAATGGGAAAAGGAATGCTTTGGAAGGTAAATTACAGATACTGAGTTAATCAAACTTGAACAGATCGAATGATAATACTTGCAGAAAAGTTCAATGGTGTAGAGACCCCTTGAGTAAAGTAACCAAGAGCGTGTGTTGACCAGCTAGAGGCAATTACATGGAAAAACCTGAGAAGTAGCCAAACATGTTGCAGAAATAGCAGAAAGCACTGAAAAAACATTACATTTATCGGGAGAGGATTTGGCATAAACTGACTGAGCCTGAAAAACTTCTTTTTGAAAAACTGGGATAACTGGATCTTAGCAAAAGCAGATAACTGTGTAGGATAATCTAAAGCCATTTGGTCAGTAAGAAGTCTACAGATTTTCTAGCAAAGAACTGCATTTTGTGTCTTATTAAATCAATTTTACAATAATATTCTTCCAGGGTGAGAATCTTAATTCATGCAATATTTGCCTGTGTGTGGGTTCAGTAGATATATGTTGTAGG